GAGGTCCTGATCACAGCATGGCTGTTAGTAAGACTTTTCAATGATATTCCTGTTACCTATATAAACAGTCATACTAATTGGCTTAGCCTTCCATAATATTTATTCTGACTAGTTAGAAGGGGTCGTGGTACTAGAGATATTGTAGCTGATGTTAGATGGATCTTGGCTGAAAGCAGGGAATACCAGAGAATGTCTGTGTTTCATTGACTATGCAAAGGCATTTGACTGTGTAGATCATAACAAACTATGGCTGACTATGAGAAGAATGGGAATCCCAGAACACTTGATCCTTCTAATGCGAAACTTATACTTGGACCAGGAGGCAGTCATCAGAACAGAGCAAGGGAACACTGCATGGTTAAAAAATGGGAAGGGCGTACGCCAGGGATGCATCCTATCTCCATACCTTTTCAACCTATATGCAGAACAGATTATCCGGGAGGCTGGGCTCTATGAGGAAAAATGTGGGGTCAAGATTGGTGGATGATTTATCAACAATCTGCGTCATGCAGATGACACAACCCTGCTTGCTGAAACTGAAGAGGACCTGAAGCGCCTGCTGCAGAGTGTCAAGGACTGCAGCCTACAATATGGATTGAGGCTCAATGTCAAGAAGACAAAGATTCTCACCACTGGACCAATTGGCAGCATCAGGATGGATGGTGAAGAGATTGAGATTGTACACAGCTTTAGTTTGCTCGGCTCCATAGTCAACAGTCTTGGCACCAGCAGCCAGGAAATGAAAAGGCGCATTGCCATGGGAAAGTCTGCTGTTAGGGACCTCTCCAAAGTACTGAAGAGCAATGGTGTCTCTCTGGAGACTAAGGTGTGTCTGATACATGCCATGGTCTTCGCAATCACTTGTTATGCATCAGAGAGTTGGACAATGACCAAGGAGGATAGAAGGAGAACTGATGCCTTTGAGCTGTGGTGCTGGAGAAGAGTACTGAGAATACCATGGACTGCTAGGAAAACAAACAGATTTGTCCTGGAAAGGGTTAAACCAGGTGGCTCCTTGGAGGCAAGGATTCTGAGGCTCCGTCTAACATACTTTGGACATGTTGTGAGGAGAGACCGGTCCTTAGAGAGGGACATCATACTTGGGAGGGTGGAGGGACGGCGCAAGAGAGGAAGGCCCTCCATGAGGTGGATTGAGTCAGTGACTGGGATAACTGGGATGGGAGTGTCGGAGACAGTGCGATTGGCAGAGGACAGAGCGGAGTTTAGGGCTGTTGTACATAGGGTAGCTATGAGTCGCAAGCGATTCAACGGCACATAACAACAACAGTTTCTATCTCTAAAAATACCACACCACCGATCTTGCTAGAATTGGGGAGGGCTTTTTAAAAAAACAAACAAACAAAAAACACAACACCAAAAAACGTACTTGAGATACACACACACACACATACACATAAATTTAAAAAATGAGGAGTGCTTGAAGCACTTGCTGCAGAAGATCAAGGACTACAGCCTTCATTAGGGATTGCATCTCAACAGTAAGAAAACGAAAATCCTCATCACTGGGATAAGAGGCAACATCATGATGTATGGAGAAAACAAATCAAGCGGTCAATGACTTCATCTTACTTGGATCCACAAGCAATACCCTTGGTACAAGCAGTCAGGAGATGTACAGCACTGGGAAAGGTGGCTATAAGGGAGTAGCCCAAAGTCTTGAAGAGCAATGAAGTTAGTTTAAAGATTTAGGTGCACCTGATCCAAGCCATGGCCTTTCCAATTACTTGCTATGAATCTGAAAGTTATACAATGACTAAGAATGGAAGAAGCAGCATTGATAGCTCTGAATTGTGGTTCTTTGTTTGTTTTTTTTTGAACTGTGGTTCTTGAGTACTGATAACTGCATGGACTGCCAAGAGAACAAACAAGTCTGTCCTGGAGAAAGTGAAACCAAGATGTTCCTTGGAGACAAGGATGGTGAAACTTTGTCTCATATATTTTGGGCATATTGTAAAGAAAAGCTGGTCCTTAAACAAGGACATCATGTTTGGGAAGGTGGAGGGTCAGCTTAAGAAAGGAAGACACTAAGAGATGAAATGACACAGTGACTGTAACAATGGAATCAAGTGTGTCAAAGATGGTGAGGATGGCACAGAATATGGCAAGATTCAGAGCCACTGTTCATAAGGTCACTGTGAGTCATAGCTGATTCCACAGCACACAACAGTAACAATAATAAATTATCTTCCTTTGCTCCCTCCTAAAGAAAAATCAACCCTTTTTCTATCCTAATTCAAATCCTAACTATTTTTAAGTCTGGGCTCAAATATAAGGCTTTCTCGAATTACTAGTCCTCAGGGATCTTTTAGTCTTTCAAATTATTATACTACATCTACCTATACCATTTATGTCACATAATCATATACTAAAAATGGCAATGATTGGCACAGTGGTTAAGCGCTCAGTCACTCTGCAGGAGAAAGATGTAGCAGTCTGCTTCCAAAGAGCTGTCTTAGAAATCCTATGGGGCAGTACTACTTTGTCCCACAGAGCTGCTACTGAGTCATAATTAACTCCATGGCAACATGTTAATCACATACTGCTTTCTATTGTTAGTTTTCTCGCTAATGATTTTTATAAGGTTATAGTTCTAATATCCTATATACCATAGGACAGAAATACAAACACAACAGAAATAAATATTTTTAATGAAAACTTCTCTGACTTTATGATATAACAATTTAAAGAAGAGTTGTTAGGAGGGAAAAATAAAGAGCTGTTCTAAAAAAAAGGAGATCTAAAAAATAGATTTTATAAAGTGAACAAAAAGAGGGCTAACAACAGAGTCAATCAACTGAGAGTCTATTATTTTTATCAACAATCAAGCCTGCTGTCATTAGTTGAGTCTAACATATGGTGATCCTCACACGTAGTAAGAAAAATAAGTTCACAGGTTTTTCTGGATGTAATCTGTACAGAAGCAGATCACTAGGTTTTCGTCTATGGCACCAGTAGTGGATTTGAACTGACAAATTTTTATGTAGCAGTTAGGCATAAATAAGAAAGTAAGTCTACATGAATTTATCCAAGTGTTTGCCAGTATTAATCTGTCAAACTCACATTCACTCACTGTTGCCAAGTAAGTTCTGACACACAATTGACCTTCCTCTGGGTTTCTGAGGCTGTAAATCACATGGGAGGAGACTGCTTGTCTTTCTCCCAAGAAGTCAGAGAGTCTTCAGATTAGCAGCACAACTTGCTAACTAAGAACTACACCACCAGAGCTTCCTCCTTGTCAAAAACCTTCCAAAGTTTTTATTCTTGGTCTAACACTAGGTCCAAGAAAAGTATTCATTCAGAAACCTAGGATTTTGAAAAATGATTCAAAGGCCCTCTATTTTCCCTAACCTTTAATAAAATATTTTCCCACCATTAAACATATCCTAAAAGATATTTCTGTGAAAGAATGCTACATTAGTCATAAAAGCTAGACATGGAACACAAAATGATTCAAAATACAGTAAAACCTGTGAAAGTCAGAATGTATGTGAAGTAAAAATCTGCCAGGAAAGGAAAATTCAAGTATTTCCAGCTAAAATGAGCAACAAAGGAGTGGTTAGGTCTGTACACTGCCCAAGACAGAAAATCTGTGATATCTGGAAAAACAAGGCAGCACCATTATTCCGACTCACAGGTTTCACTGCACTTACCAATTTATACATTGGTTTAAAATTTATCTGCTTACCATCCACATGTCTTAGGTACATATTCTCCTGAAGGTACACTGTCTTAGGTAGTTTCTAGAAGACAAAGGCTACATTTTCGACCTTTGCTTGACATTCTATACAAAAATGGTTAATTGTTAATATTTATTATTTGGAAAAACTAATTTTGCTTGAATTAACCAATCAAATATCAGATTAAAGCTCTTGTAATATGCTCTCATAATACTTTGCACTGCCTCTCTCAGCACCTAGTAATTAATTATCCAACTGTTTAATATCCTTTTTTTCACTAGACTAAGTTTCATTAGGGTAAAACTTTTTTTTCCTACTAAATGTTAGTGGCTCAAATATGTTTAGTATATAAGCACTCAACAAATCTGTAGAATGAACTAATAAAATGAGGTGATGCCCACTCTGAGCAGGGAATGATTGGCTATGAAATACATTTTACAAAAAGTGAAACAGATGAATTATGACTGTTTCTAAATTTCAGAGCCAGAGAAACCTAGAGGTAGAGATAAGAGGGGGAAAATCAAACTGTCCCATTAAACATACTGAGAAGTTACATAACATATAGGTAAAAGCAGACTTCATAAAGGACTTAATTCTCATGAAAAACAGAAGTCAAACATCAACATCACAGAATTTCCCTGTGACTTTCATGGAGACTTAGCATGAAAGGAGGCATAACTACCTCCCCCCACCAACTACGCAGGATTGACAAAAAGCGCAGTGGGGAGGGAGATACGTACGGGGCGAATGTCTGCTGAGCTCCAGCTCTGGTCTCTCCAGGCTGCTCTGAAAGTCAGGAGGCAGCAGGGAAGCCACTCCCTCAGGATGGATCATCTCGTCCTCCGACTCAGCTGAAGCTTCTGCAAAGCACAGATTGGGTCGGGCAGGGAGGGAGTGAAGGGCTCAGCAAGTATGACTATGTACAGGAGTGAAGGAAGTCAGGCAAAGTCATGGACAGAGAGATATATACCAAAAAATAGGACTGTACACAAAAGAAAAAAAAAACACACCCCTACCTCAGGGAGATAGTAGCTTACTTCTAATTATTCCTGTTGGCAGGAATTCTCTTCTAATAAAATATTTAAATTAAGTGTACTCTTTACTAACAAGAAGTATACTCTTTACTAACAAAATGTAAACAGTAACTCACTTGGGTCTACCAATAGTAACTAAACTACCAAAGCAAAACCAAGCAGCCATCTCAGCCTGACTTATTCCTGAGATTGTCCTTAGAACAAGCCCATCTACCTGGAAATAGGGATGAGAATGAAAAACTTGCAATAACTGATGCTCTGACCTTACCTTCAAGTTCTGCAGCTTCTCGAGCTTCACGTTCCAAACGCTGCCTAAGCAACTCCTGTTGCTTTTCCAGATACTGCTTTATGAAACTGTTCTTGCTCATTTCCTCACCAATCTGTGTGTAAGAAAACCAAAGTCTAAGAAAGTAAAAATGTAGAAGAGAAAAATCCCATCAAGCAAAAGTGTTCTTCTTATAACTAGATCCCTTTTCTAAGCTACACTTTTATTTAAGAGCAAAATAAGGAATCCTAAGATTGACTAAAAAAAATGGCATAAAAAGGAAAGATACACTTAAACGAGTCCATTCCAAATCAAAAAGGTGAAGCTGATAAATAAAAAATCTTGAAAACTCCCTGCAATGATGTCTTTTAATCAGTATTTTTCCCTTTTAATAGTATCAAACACAAGTAATAAATATTCCATGAAAATTATCTCTTAAAAAAACTCAAAACAAAAAAATACCAATCTCTAAATTAAGGTATATTTTATCAATAATGGGCAGAGTTGACATCTCAAAAATGCAGGTACAGAGTTTAAAAAGTATGAAAAAAAAATAAGGAAAAGGTTATCTACTCAGCATTTAGGATTTCATTTTGTTTGAAATTAGAGAAATCCTCGCTAATAGTATTTAACACGCATGGATTTATCTCTTTTCTCACTTCTCTGCAACCTAAGACTCTACCACTCTTCTGCCCTTAGCCTTCTTAAAACCCTCTTTCTTACTGAGAACCTTTTTGCTAAGCAATTTCTATTCAATCATTGGTGTTGAGTCCAAACTGAGTCATAAATGACCCTCCAGCAGGTTTTTTAAGTCTGTAAGACACATGAGAGGAGTTCTCCATCTTTCTCTCAGTGGAAGTGCTAATGGATTTAGACTGCTATATAGGTGTGGCCTTTCGGTTAGCAGGGCAGTTCTCCAAAGGGCTATGCCATCAGAGATGTCCAGGAACTCTTACTGTTATTGTCTAGGTGTTACTGAATCAAGCACAACTCACAGCAACCCTATGAGCAACAGATCTGAACTCTGTCTTATCCTGTGCCATTCTCATCATCTCTGCCATACTAGAGATCATTGTTACAGCCACTGTGTCAATCCATCTCACTGAGGGTCTTCCCCTTCTCTGCTGACTTTCCACTTTTCCATTATGATGTCTCTTCTCAAGGATCCATTGAAAAAGAAGAAAAAAAAACAAACCCAAAAAACCAACACAACAACAAACCACCCTAAATACTTTTTATGTTACTTGTCATGTTATCCTAAGACAGCAAATATTTATTTTCATCTAAGATGGAGACAAATATTTGGCATTCAATGGGAGTATATAAAGTATGAGTGTATATATTAGAGAATCTAGCTGCTTATTTCAATGAACTTATGTTACTAAAAGCAAAATTCCAAAATTAAACTGCAATAAGCAAAAGGAATACAATCACAAAGAGACCACGAAATGCAGTTTTTTTATGTTTATTAAAGCACACACCCTAACTTCTGTTACCCAGCTGGATTATAATACTATGACTTAATAAGGTGATTATCAAGGGAGTAGGAAGAACTCTCTTGTTTGTCCATAATATCTTGGGACTCCATCTGGTGCTAAAGGTGCATATCATTGCATTAACAAAGACCTCTTTACTTACGTGTGTAACACACCATGAATGAGGTGATCTTAAATGCTAAAAGGAACCTCAAGAGGTCATCTAGACTTTCTACCTTGTTAAATCATGCAATGGTTTCTTTGAACAAAATCTGAATCAGAAATTTTACATATAAAGCTAACTGCTTTAGTAGATCTAATCTAGCTTCAGAGGAGTGCACTGAACTTTGTTCACTTGGGGAAAGTGTGCCTAGGAAGTCCCCAAAACGGCTTCACAAAACCTCAAAAGAGCAGTGAAATTATGGATTCAACCCTTAAAGATAAGGAAACAAACAAAAAAAAAAGATAAGGAAACAGGAAATGAAGGAATCCAAAGGTTAAGATTCTTACTCTCAGGTAAAAAACTCAGTAATATTTAAGAAAAACTGCACAGTTATTAACTCTATCATTAGTAAGGTCAAAGAGTTGAATTTGTTTTTAGAAAACTCAAATCAACAACAAAACCTGAATCTTCTTGGCAGCACATATGTTCTCACATCATCTTATTGAGTGTATAATTCCTATCTATATGCAAAGATATCAACTACTTTTCCCAAAGAAATGACTTCAGATATTGTACTACACTTAATCAATCATAGACACACCTTTCTGCACACATAATTTCAATTCTCAGAAATTATGAGTGCCTCTGTTTCTTTTCTTTTCTCCATGCCCTTGTTACAAATGGGCTTCCAATTATTTTGAAACATTTCAAATCAAGAGAACTAAGGAAAATACTGGTCCCTTGGAATTAAGCATAATCTATGGAGAACCTGTCATGCTATGTGTGTGGACATTCAAACAGCCTGTTCCATCTAACAAACCTCTTTTCTTACCTGAGAATTTGGCTGAAATGCAGCATGGGGTGTTGAGTGTTTCTGTAAATTTTCTAGCATTAGAGCCTGGTATAGAGAAGAGCAAATGTCAGAAACCAAGGGAGGGGGGAAAAAAAAATCCAAAACCTACCCCACTAAAACCCCAAGTTCTTCATCAAATATAACGACTAGCCATAAATGCTTAAACTTTTTTCCTTTTCCAGAAACCTCAAAACCCTTTACTAACATTGTTCTAATTAATCTTTTAAAAGACCCTTTAAGGTAGCAACTGTTATTGCTCCCAAATGTTCAGATGTAAATACAGACACAGAGAATCAGTAATCTGGTTATGTCATAAAATTAATTACAGTAACAGACCTGCTCCTAGAATGGCTGCATTTTACACACTTTTGAAAAATAGTTAATGCTGTTATGTATAGAGTTGGAATGACTCCTAGCTAACTCCCAGTGGGTTTCCAGAGGCAGTAAATCTGCATGGAAAGAGGATGCACATATTTCTCCCACAGAGCAGCTGGTGGATTTGAACTGTATGCCTTTGGGTTGGCAACATAACTCTTTACCCCTAAGTCACAAGAGTTTCCTGTTCTGAAACAGCTTCCTGTTTTGTTTACTGACCCATGCTGGTCAGTAAAACGACCTAAAATATTTAAACCAGCTTTAAACACACCAAGGAAACATGGCTGGCTCTGGTCTGAATGAATTACTGAATTCAGTTACATCTAAACCTACTGGAGAGAAATGTGCGTATTTTCCAGCAGAGTGACAGGTGTATTTATCAAATTTATAACAATCTCAGGAGGCTACAACCCTTGTAAACTCCCCCAATCCATCTCCAAAAAAAAAAGAGGAAAATAAGCAAACACACAAACCACCCTATCAGCTTCTGTATAAGCAACGGTCGGCCAGCTCATCTGTTAAGCTAATATAGCCCTTATCTGTACTACCTGACATTTATCCCAACTGAAAGTCTCACGTTGCCCCAGTTTATACTAACTTGCACATATACCGATCCATTTAACCTCATGACAACCCCATCCTAACTTCCCAAGCCGATTAAACATCCTCACCATATACCTAACTGTCGCACGTCTCTCACCAATATCGACCTAACTCTTAACCACCCAAATTATTTCTGTGCTCTTATATACAAATCACTCTTTAAAAAGTCCCTTCAAACGGCGGTTTCTCATCATCTCACCTCCTAATCTAATCAAGCAGACATTTTACTCTACCCTAATCCTATTATTCCGGAGACCGGACCCCAAACCTCAACCCTCCACCCAGGTCTGCCCCTAACTCCGACCCAGCCCAACTCGCCCCCCTCCGGCCACTAACGCCGGTGGTTGTAGTGGGATTTAACTCCTTCTGCAGCGCATGCGCCGAAACCACAGACACAAACAAGGAGGGGGTGGGGTAAGGAGGTTAAGACACTTCAGCAGAGTAGCGCGCACCCTCCCATTTTGAGCTCGCGCTGCTGCCGTTAAGGCGGGAACCGGAGCGATCTCCACTCCAGTGCGAGCCTCACCAACCACCATGCTCGCGGATCTCGAGGCTCGCGCTAGCGGCCTGAGCGAGCTCGCGCCGAGCCCGGACACTGCGCCTGCGCCGCGGCTGAGACTCGTCTCTACCGGGTCCGCTCCCCTCCAACACCCCGGCAACGCCGTGTCCTCACCCCTTTGAGCCGTTTGACCAGGGTACTCTTCTGCCCGCTTTTGGCTAGGCCTCGCTGCTCCAGGGCGGCCTTCAGGTCGGTCACCCGCAGCGCCTGAAGAGGCTTCCCGTCCAGAGTCACCTCCTCCAGCTCCGCCATCTTGCGTGAGGTACTCGGGTCCCGTCCCGACGGCTTCGGGCATCTTCGGTAATTTCCGCCAACGCCCTTTGAACGTATCCAACTGACTCCGCCCACTGCCTGAGTCAACCCCTCGATTACCACTCAGAACTCCCCGGGTTCCTCCGGAACTGTCCGGTTATTTCCGTCTACACTTCGGCACCAATCGTTTCTTTTTAGCCTCCCAGCCGTTTCCCCTCCTCATCCTGTTTTCAGAGTTCGGTTATCTTCGTTTCACGGAGGCTTTGAACCGAATCTCTTCGGAAGCTCTCGTCTTTGGCACACTCAAACCCGAAGTGTATCGGCTATCTCCGATCCTCGCGCGGAGGTGCTTGGGTGTTTGGGGCCCGGTCCGACACCGGAAGTGCGTGGGCTGCTCAGCTGGCCCCGCTTGGGGTTTTCAGGAAATATGGCGAGCGCGGCAGCCGTTGGCATCTAAGCACTTTGGTCACGGCCTCGGTACCTTTTCTGAGGACAGGGGAGGTAAGCTGGGTAGAAGTCTCTCCCTGGGCTGGGTCTAACTTGCAGTTTGCAGTTACTTTTAGCAGTAATCCGAGGCTCCCGCCACCTCACCCCCCCACACCCTCGTCAGCCCCCGCTCGAGGTAAGGCTGAGTTGCTCCTTTGGGGCCTCAGTTGCTGGGCTCTGGTTGCCGCTAAATTGAGAAAGTGGGGTACCATGTCTTCAGACCGGTATGTTTGATTCTCAGCCGAAGTTGAGATTTGTTCCCCCCCTACCTACACGCCCTTCTTGACGCACCAAACTCATCTACACCCAAACAAATTTAAGTGGGATTAGTGGACAGAATCCGAAGTGGCGCGGTAACTAATTTGAGAATTCAAATTATGCAGTAAATGATCACTGAATTTGCTTTTAGCCGTGGAGCCGTGCGGCAAGACTCGGAGAAAGTTCTCCCTTTCCTCCTTCCCCCCAGAAATAGACTAAAAAGTTCCTTTAGAAGGAGCTACGCGAAGTGCAGCAATGAATGAATGGAAATCCAAAATCTCTGTAAATCTTCATTAAAATTATTAAAATAAAATAAAAAATAAAAAAAGAAGGAACTACGCGGCTCGTGCACAATCGCCCCCTCCCGCAGACTTTCCTACTTTATTTAGTACTGATGTTAATCGTTAGGATTTTCTTTCTTTGCACAAAAATAACATGCTTTTATAACAAAAGAAACAGTGAAATGGGTCATATGGGAGGAGTTTATGGGTTTCATTGTTAGCAACTCAAGCAGCTCTGAAAATTTCATATTGGCTGACCTTCCAAATGCATTTAGTGATGCAAAATCAATCACAGGACTTTGATGGATTTTATATGGATACTAAATATTAAGAAAAATTCTCAAAAGACCTTAATTTTCATATGTATATAATATAACACTTGTTATATTGTTTGATCTGTAAGCCACCAATCCAAAGAGACTTTGAGAGTCCCAAATAAACACCTGGCTTTCCTGGACGAGGCCTTTGCTCTGCTTTTTTATTTTTTTTCATATTCTTTACAGGAAAGAAAAGATTCCCTGGTGGTGTGGTGCATGATGTGCTGAGCTGCTCACTGAGCAGTTGGAATTGACTCGGGATAAAGATGGACAGTCTCCTCTCCTAAAAATTTACAGCCTTGGAAAACTGATGGAGGGTCGCTGTGCTTCAGAATTGACCCAATGCCAGTGAGTTTGGGTTTTATGTTTACAGGAAATACAGATAATGGCTATTTTGAAGCACTTGATATATTTCAGAAGTGCTATGTCTGGAATGTGTTCTGTTTTTAGGCTGATAACTGAAAGATCCGTGATCCAAACTCACCATCTATGGAAGAAGGATGAGGTAGTCTGTTCCTATTAAGATTTATAGCCTTGGAAAGCTGGTAGAGGGTCTCCATGAATTGGAATTGACTGATGACAGTGGGTTTTTGTTTTGTTTTATTCACTAGCAGAGGGCAGTGGTAGTTCAGTGGTAGAATTCACCCCTTCCATGCAGGAGCTCGTGTTTGACTGTTGGTCAGTGTCCCTCAAAGACAGCTTGACAGTGGAGACTTACATACTTTATAGTTGAATAGATTTCAGCAGAACTTCCAGACTAAGGTGAAAGACCTGATGATCTACTTCCAAAACTTTAGTCCGTGAAAACTCGCTGGATCGCAGTCCAGTCCTCTTGTGTAAGGTTTCCCAATGAGATGGGAACCAACTTGACAGCAGTGCACATGTGGTTCGTTACGTGTTATATACTGTAGAGTTGGAACTGACTCATAGCTGACCCTCTGGCAGGTTTTCAGAGGCTGTTAATTGCATGGGAGGAAATGTCCCCTCCTCCCACGGAGCAGCTGGTGGATTCAAACTGTGTGCATTTGGGATTGCAGCGCAACTTCTTGCCACTAGGCCACCAGCGTGCCAGCAGTGCACATAGCAAAGATTTTTTTACCATGCATGTCTTGTTTTGATTTTCATTTGTTGCTTCCCCCCCCCCCCCCCCGGTTGGCTTATAGCCACATGGTTGGTTGTATGAACCCTTAAGTTGCTCCATGGGAGAAAAATAAGACAGTCTCTTCTGGTTAAGATTTTTAACTTCAGAAACCCTGTGGGATAGTTCTCTTTCATATAAGTCACTATGAGTTAGAATTGACTCATGACAAGTGAGGGGTTTTGTTCATTTGTTTTAGGTTGCTAATTCTAGAATTAGTAGCATGTAGACCCAGATCAACAGCATTTTTTTTTAATTTTAGCTAAGATGTGAGATATGATGGGCCAATATAAATCTCTCTCCATTTATCTAATCTGGAGTATAGAATTTGGAGGAAAATAATGAACAATAAATATATGGATTATTTATAAGAGTGGTGGAGGGTTTCCCCCCATTTATTTAATCTGAAACATAGACGTTAGAGGAAAATAATGAACAGCAAATATGTGGATTATTGGATTCTTTGTAAGAATTAGGGAGGGAGGTGGTGGTTGAGAAGGGTAATAGTTTTGAAAAAGAGAAAGGGAAGTAGGCAGATTATTTTTGGGTAACTTCTCTAAGGCAGTTGGATAATAATCTAAGGAAAAAACTCAAACCTGTTTTCTTGTGAATTTTCTCTGTAGATGGTTTGATGATTAGGTGTAATAAAAGGTAGATTCAGCTCTTCTTACTGGCAAATTGTATTTTTGTTGCTCCGTGCAAAGAGTCTGTAACTGTGCTTCTGTGTTTCAGAATGTCTCTGGAATCATCACCATCAATGCCACTGCCCTTCCCTTCTCCCTTACCATCAGTGCCAGATGATATTATTAACTCTTCCCCTCCTCCAATGTCTTACGTCACATCTCAGGAGATGAAGTGTGTTCTGCATTGGTTTGCAAGTTGGTCTGGTCTCCAGCGTGAACGTTTTCTACAGGACCTGGTAGCTAAGGCAGTGCCAGGGAAATTACAGCCACTCCTGGATGGTCTGGAGCAGCTTAGTGTCTCTGGGGCAAACCGACCACCTTGTATCTTTGAATGCCAGCTCCGTCTTTGGGATCAGTGGTTTCGAGATTGGGCTGAGGAGGAACGCAATGAATTTGTCAGGCAACTGGAAATAACTGAGCCAGATTTTGTAGCAAAGTTTTACAGAGCTGTGGCTGCTACAGCTGGTAAGGACTGATGGACAAGACAGCCATAGTTGCAGTTGAGGTTATACTCTACAGCAAAACTTCTGTTCAGATGTGCTGCATGAAGATCTGGAAATGGTAACTTGATAAGTTGACTAAACGCACTGACAGCACAGACATGGCCGTTTTAACAGTAGCTTATCAACTGGATGACTAGGAATGGTTGCCACCTATGCAAACCCAGTCTGCCTCCTAGCTTCTTTCCAAGAATCTGATGACTTCTTTTGGAACTATAATCAAAAGGAACCAAAGCATTATAACTCAAATTTGGCCTACTGCTGCCTCATGAGAAATACGAAGTAGAGCTTTCTTGGTCTTAGCTATGATGTCCCAACCACCAGCTTTCCCATTGATGATTTATAAAATTATGGAAAATCAGGAGAGAGAGAATAATGATTGCCTCCCTCATTAAGTTCAAATAGCCATGACTTTTCAAAAGTATATGCTGCTTTTGGAGTTGGTAGCAGGTATTCTGTAGCAGATGTACAATAATATGAAAACAAGTGATATTCTATCAGTTGAAGGATTTATTTTTTATACCAAAATAAAGAACAGATTTTTAAAATGGTCTCTTTTTTTTTTCTTTTCTTTTCTTTGCAAGGCTGGTGCAAAGTTACTATCTGGCAAAAGGCATTCTGAAAATGTAAATGATAAGTCTAGATACATTTTTTTTTTACTATTGTCTCCCAAGAAGTAATCATCTGCCTTAACTCCTGTCACATTCTGGGTTTCATCACACCTTCCTTCTTCCTCCAGGTCTCAGAGCTCTGGTGAATGATAAGGGGCAAATGGTGCTACCTGAACAGTAGCTCGCTTCTGATAGACCACAGTTCCCAGTGTACCCACCAGGATAAGCAGCATTAGACAGAGTCCCAGGAATAGATGTATGTGGGTCATAGACTGATTAGGGTCTGCGGTAGCCAGCGGCCTAGAAACAAGATGATTAACAGAAAACAGTACTTAAGTTTAGGAGGTAAAGCCCCTATCGTATCTTTGTCTCATTGCTGTAGAATAGGAACTGACTCATGACTGACTGACCCTCTAGTAGGTTTCCAAGGCTGTAATTTGCACAGGAGATTGCCCATCTCTCTGGCCAATCCACTGGTGGGTTAGAAATGCCAGAGAGGCATGGCCTTGGAGTTAACAGTGCATCTTCCTTTTTATTATGTAGAATTTATAAACCCTGCTTTACCAAACACAAATCTCAAGAAAATAACAAAGGGAATACATAGGTCCTTAAAATAGGACTAAATAAAGATACAAGTATTCTAGCAACATTAAGTTTTTTGAGAAAGTCCTTGAAAAGTCATAACTTGTTAGTGAAAGGAAGGAAGGGGAGGGTCAGATTCTAGTGCCTAGGTAACTAGACAAGTTGCCTTGGTAATGCTTACAAAAAGGGAATTTAGTGTCCCTGCATCCTAGATAGGAACTTCATGGGGTGGGGGTACAATCATGTCCAGTGATCACAAAAGTTTCTAATAGGTTCCTAAAATATTTTTACTATTTTACCTGTATTCTGTGGTATAGTTGACTCCTCCATAATATATTTCTAGGGGCTTCTCCTGGAGAGTCAGGGTCAGGGCCCTGTGTAGCATACCAGCTGGAGGCCCTTGGCAGCCAGGAGACTTCCGTATTTGCACAGTGAACGTTAGACTAGCAGTAATTGATGGGCTATGGAAATAGCACCTAAACAGACATTTGGATCACTTAATGAAGATATATTCCCTGGAACAAAGTATCTTTTGAAACTTACTCAGGTATAGGAAGAGGATGAACAGATTGCAGGGGAAGGTTATGAAGATTTACGCGTTTACCCTAACTCATTATATGCTCAGCCTGAATCATCCCTTTACCTGCTAGTGCCGCCTCTATTTACCAGAGCCAGCAGTACTTTCTCTGTCAGCTCTTCTAGGTGTTTCTTTCCCAGGGAATGGTCTGGGGGTTCAGCTAATTGTAAAAACAACTGCAGCAGCAATCCTTGGGTTGAAAGACTCAAGGGTGAGGAAGTAACAGCATTGGCACCTTCATTAGTCTGGCACAGTCTACCCCTGGGGCAGAAGAGAAGACCAGAGTACCCAGGTATCTGCAAGGAAAAATAAAACAATATAGTTAAAACCTCCCTCAATTGCTATCTTAAGGAAAATACAGGTTAATTTAGATAATGGACTCAGTTGATAGCTTGTAAAAAAGAATGAACTTGATACAGGTTGACATAATGCCATATATTTTCGAGTTCTTTTTGCGCCAAAGCTATTGTACTTACAGTACCCACCTGAATAGCCTTTCCTGGAAGGCATGAGACCCATGGTGATCCCTTCACCCGCACTTTGTATGCTCCCCTCGCTGTACATTTGTGTAAATAGCAGCGGCCTGTGAGTTCCTCCTCTTTGAGGTAGGAGATCTGAGAAGGATGGCTGGTCTTGACCTTAGGGAGCAGAACTGAAGTAATGTTGGCAAGGAAGCAACGACTCTGGGAATGGTAGATTTCCCCATGGGGATTCTTTGCCTCAGGTGGTAATCCATTTTCTTCCTTCCAGCATTCACTCTGAAATACAGGCCAGAAAGTGTTTATATAAATACCTTAGAAGTTGACTTATCTTCAGGTCAAATCTATTTCAGTCTCTCTTCAGTCTACTCACCCCATTGACTAAGGGCTTGTACATGCGGCAGCCTTCTAGCATAGGGTCTGAAGAACACCGTCCCTTGTCCAAGTGTAAGTAGTGGCAGCCTAGCCCACTGGATAGGATGGACGACGGTACAGTGACAGTAGTATCTCTGACACTACATAGCCCCCCCCCAACCACTCAATACACTCACCTCCCAGTACAGAAGAAACCTGAGGTGTCAGTTTTACATGTGGCCAACAGACCAAATTCCAGGCCAGATCCTGCTCAAGGAAGAGAAAGTGTCAAGAACAAATGAAGTTCTAAACATGCCTCAGCATCAGCTATGCTTTTACAGCTTTGATTACACTTTACTGTTGGAGTAGCTGGTGGCCTCAAACCATGTACCTTTGGGATTGGAGCACACCTTTCCTCTAGACCACCAGAGCTCCCTACTGGATTATACCTTAGCAGCCCATAACAGATAACCTTTTCCAACTTCCTCCTTCCTCTTTGCTGATTTGGGTCAGAGGTGGCGGTGGTGTGCATGATTGAGTTAGACCCAAAGCTGACCCTCCAGTAGGTTTTCAGAGGCAGTAGACCACAGAGAAGTTCCCCATTTTTGTCCTGCAGAGCAGCTGGTGGATTCTGAACACGTGGTTTGAAATCACCATGTGCTTTTAGATTGGCAGCACAGCTACTTACCACTAGGCCACCAGAGCCTCTAATTCTCTTAAATTTCTCACCCTGGCCCCACAGCAGCTCCTGTGCAGCACTGTGGTTAACTTGGTACCAGCCTGAGTCTTTGAAGGCAGCAAGAGTGATAGGGTCAAGTTTAGTGCGTTGGGCACCATCGAAGATAGCAGTCATTATAGATCCTTGTAATAGTCTGGCTTCCCAGTGTGAAGACAAAGGGCCCTCCTGGAGAAATTTGTAAATAGCAGTTACCACCAGAAAAACAAATGGAGTGCTCCTTGGAGGCAAGAATGATAAAGCTTTATCTCATATTTTAAGCATACTGTTAGGAGAGGCTACTCCTAGGAGAGGGACATCTTGCTTGGAAAAGTGGAGAGTCAGTGAAAAAGAGAACGCCCTCAACCAGATGGATTGACACAGTAACTGCAGCAATGGGCTCATGATATGTCAGAAATCATGAATGGTACAGGGTAGAAGAGGGTTCAGGTCTGTCATAGGATCACTATGAATTCTGCTCAACTCAGTGACACCTAACAGCAACAACAACAAGCTTGCTGCTCCCATTTTTCTTATATCACTTAAAAATATTCTCACCTCCTCTTCCAAGGGGACACCTGGTAAAACTCCTTGCATTCCCAAGTGTTTGGCCAGGCTGCGGCTAACAGTTGGGGTGATGAGAAGCAGCTGTCCCCACTCATCTTGCCTTGTCACTTGTTGCCTTGTAGAACAGTTCTCTCTCACTGAGTACAGAAACAGGAGAAGGCAATATGACCGAGAAGCTTAGCTGACTTAGAATTCGAAGGAAGGAGGTCATGGAGTTGTGATTCTGTTTGATGTGGAAAGGCCTCCCTCTTTCTTCTCACCACTGGGTCCTGAAGGACAATCCTTCCACTTCTTGAATAGCTGTCCAGAGAAGCCCAGGGCATGGAACAGTTCATGTAGTGTGGCCTAAGGATAAGCTGGAATGAGGGAACTGGATTGCAATAGGATTGACCAATGTCTGCCCAGTCAGTTCTTAGGGTTAAGGTACCTTCTGTTCTGCCCTCTGTGGATTTGTTCTCTTCATAGGAAGCTAAGTGGCTTCCCCTTCCCTCCCCAATTCTGTTTGCATGTTATAGATGTTCATCACGCAGTAGTTACCATACCATGACAATGTCACTGTGGCTGAGGTTGGGCCTTGTAAGATGTTGGGCACAGTAGACAATGGTACCAGCAAGGGGCCTGTCTTCGGAGTCCAGTTGGCAGCAGGCAGCATAGGCTATTATAGAGGGCTATGGATAGGCCAAGATAAGGTAAGGATGGAATCAAGGTAACACAGAACAAAGTATACAGAAAGGGGAGAAACAGAGGATTCAACAGGATTTTCAGGGATAGTACTGAGGGATAACTCGAGTTGTGTTTGTTTTCTTAGCTCCCACTTGAGCTTTATCAGTGTGTTCCAAGTTACCACAGATAAACACAATAAAAACTTGTGTGCTCCCTACCCCTGCACCATGAAATTTAAGAGACTCAGAGTAGTGAAAAAGAGTTTAATTTGAACCTTACCTCTTGGTGGCACTTGGAAGTATGGGCAACCCTTACATAAAGAAGAAAATCGGTGTTTTGGACTCCAGGACCATCTGACTGGGCCAGTTGTGGGGGACCCTGCTCAGGCCACAAGGCATAACCACGAAGATGGGCATCGGGGATCTGGC